TAGAAAAAAACAAGAGGAAACAGGCTACCTTGCATAATGACTTAGCCACTCCCAGTCTCTATTTAAGCCTAAATTAATAGTATCCAATTTGCAAATGAATTCCAATTCAGCAGTTTCTCGCTGGAGTCTGGATTTGAAGTTTTTTTGTTTTAAGATAGCGACCTTCATGTCTGTGATTGCGTGACCAGAGAGATTGAAGTGTTCTCCGACTGGTTTATGAATGTTATAATTCTTGACATCTGATTTGTGTCCATTTATTCTTTTACGTAGAGACTGTCCAGTTTGACCAATGTACATGGCAGAGGGGCATTGCTGGCACATGATGGCATATATCACATTGGTGGATGTGCAGGTGAACGAGCCTCTGATAGTGTGGCTGATGTTATTAGGCCCTGTGATGGTGTCCCCTGAATAGATATGTGGGCACAATTGGCAACGGGCTTTGTTGCAAGGATAAGTTCCTGGGTTAGTGGTTCTGTTGTGTGGTATGTGGTTGTTGGTGAGTATTTGCTTCAGGTTGCGGGGCTGTCTGTAGGCAAGGACTGGCCTGTCTCCCAAGACTTGTGAGAGTGTTGGGTCATCCTTTAGGATAGGTTGTAGATCCTTAATAATGCGTTGGAGGGGTTTTAGTTGGGGGCTGAAGGTGACCGCTAGTGGCGTTCTGTTATTTTCTTTGTTGGGCCTGTCTTGTAGTAGGTAACTTCTGGGAACTCTTCAGAAGTTATTACAAATTGAAGAGTTATGGGAAAAAGAAGGAATTTCAGGATTAATCACCCTACCCGGAATTCCATGAGGTGAGGTAGAGAAGTAGATTCATAGATTTTATGGTCAGATTGGACCCATTATGGTAATCTAGTCTAACCTGCTGCATATAAAATACATGCCATAAACCTCACCCAATAATATTTGTACCAAGACTATAACTTCTGTTTGAGCTATTGCATATCTTTTAGAAAGATATCCAGTCTTGATTTAAAGATTTCAAGCGATACAGAATAGACCACATCTCTAAGTAAATTGTTGCAATGGTTGATTACCCTCACTATTAAAAATGTGTACCTTACTTCTAGTCTGAATTTCTCTAGCTTCATTATGCCTGTTTCTGCTAGATTAAAGTGCTATTATCAGAAATCTCTTCCCCATGTAAGTATTTGTAGGCAGTGACCACCCGTCTCTTGGGTCAAGACTGAGCTTCTTAAACCTCTCACTAGTAGGAATGTTTTTCAGATCTCATATTATTTTGTAGCTCTTTTAAAGCCTTTGTAATTTTTCCATTTTTTTTTAAAGTCTGGACATCAGAATTGAACATAATATTCCAGTAATGGGCTTACTAATGCCATATACAGTGGTAATATCCCCACCCTACTCTTATTTGATCTTCCCCTGCTTATACATCCAATAATTGTGTTCTCTTTCTTAGCTACATCACACAGGGAGATCACGTTCCATTAGTGATCTTCCTTGCCCCCTAAATTCTTTTCAGTGTCACTGTATTCCAGAATACAGGCCCCATCTTTGAAGCATGAACACCTACATCCTTTGTTTCAGACGTATAACCTTGAATTTTTCTGTATTAAAACTGAAACACCTGTTGTTTAAATGAGCCCACCTCACCAAGTTATCCAGATCAGTGTGTAAAACTGACCTGACCACATCCTTATTTACCACTTCACCAATTTTCAGGTCATCTGCAAATTTTATCTTTTCTTCCAGATCATTGATAAAAAAAGATCTTGAACATTGGTCCAAGAACAGATCCCCATGGAACCTGACAAGAAACACGCCAGTTGCATGAATATGCCATATGTATAACTTCTTTTTGAGCTGAAATTAGTTAACCAGTTTTTCAACTATCTGGTATGGGCTACACTGATTTTCTGTAGTGCTAATTTTTTACTCCCAAAGAATCTCATGTGGGAGTAAGTCAAACGCCTTACAGAAGTCTAAATACATTTTGTCAACATAGTTACCTTTGTCAACCAAATTTGTAATCGCATCAAAAATTATATCAAGTTTTTTGACAAGACCTGTTGTCCATAAAACCACGTTGACTGACATTAGTTATGATTCCATGCTTTAATTCTTTAGTGATTGTGTCCCTTATCAGCCTTTCCATGAGTTTACCAGGATCAATGTGAGACTAAATGGTTTATAGTTACCTGGATCATCCCATTTGCCCTTTTAAAATATTGGCACAAGATTCACTTTTTTCCATTCCTTTGGAACTTTCCCAGTAATCCAAAATTTATTAAAAATTAACAATAATGGTTAAGAGAGATCTTCAATCAATTCTTTTAATTCTCTTGGGTACAAGCTTTCCGGTCTAGTAAGGTATTAAGCAAGAGAAAGTAACCTTTGAGGTTTATTGATGAATTTTTCAACTTTAAAAGGCTTGAACTTCCTCCATAATCATGTCATTAGAGTATTTTCATGAGGAAGTGCACAGTACCTACAGGTACCTTTGCCATGACAATGTTTGAATTAACCTCAAGCAACCTGCTGCCTCACAGCTGTGAAATATTTGTAACGATCCAGGAATATTTCTGCTTTATATGGCTTTGCCTACTTGTCTTGTGAGTGATTCCTTTTGTCTTTTCCCCCTACTCACACACATTTTAAGGGCAAAAGCTTAGAATTCTCACAAGAGAACATTAAAGGAGAGAAAAGGAAAATTGAGCACCTGTTTTCTTTTTAAATTACTCTGATGTTGCTATTTGATTTATATTCTTGATGTTTTGTGAGCTGGGTGGATGCTCACATTCCAACATACAATACCATTGATGGAAATCTAGAAAATTCCTGGTTTTGCAGACTCCATCAACTGTAGATGACTGAACTCAAACTATATTACAAAAACCCACAGGATATCAAATTTACAATCATTAGAAACTCTTGTTTAGACATTTTTAATTTACTATCTCGTCTTTCTATATTGTTTATGCTAGAAGGTGGCAAAGCATCTTACAAGCTGAGATTTCTTTATCTGTGTTACAAAAAATACAAATTTAAAACTCCATAAGGGAAAAGAGCATAAGCATGGCTCAGAAAGTCAATACCAATTGTATAGTACATGCTTCTTAAAAAACAGATCTGCTGGCACAGCATTACTTGCAGTTTCCTTTTACTGTACAACATTGTACCTGTACACAACTGGGTCAGATACTTCTACTAGGACTATGCATAGTGTCCAGGCCCAAATGGTTTGGTTTGAGCTAGTTTTTCCTTTAAATTATTAGTGCCAACTTCTGTTCTCAACTATATAATTTATATATGGAATAAATCCAGTGATGTCAGTGGAGTTACTCTATATTTACTCTCACGCATAATAAAGTTAGGGAAATATAGCTTTCTATGTCAAATAAAAGTATATGAAGTAGAAACACAATGGTTTCCCCCCCAGTAAATGGCTAAAAAATACTGGAAAACAGTGGAGGAAAAAATCCAGAAGAGCCTTATTCCACCATTGTTTCGATCTTGCCATTCATCGGGAGGTCCATAAAGTTTCCTTTTGAATCATTCCACAGCATCAGTGTGAGTATTGCGGGCGAGCAGGAAGGCGAAGACTGCCATCTTTGGTTTTTGCTGTCCCATAGGGGAAAACTATTGCACAACACGGTGATGTGGAATCATTTACATTAAAAACAATATATCAAGGCAAATATACAACAGAAAGTAATTTTAAGGATTCTAAGGTATGACTGTATCCTCTATGCACCTTTTTCAGATGTTCAAAAGCCTTTTAGAGTGAAACCCCAGTCAGCTTGTTTTTCAAAATGAAGTTTTAGATCAAATTTTATTTTTCTCAGCCCTTGCTTTCCATCACCAGATCACAGACAGCAGCCATGTCCAGTTCCAATGAGCCAGATGATTAGAGGGGAAACAGGCAGTGAGTGCTGTGCAGATGGGGGAAAGAAGGCTGGTGCTAGCCTCTCAGAGGGCCGAGTATACATAGAAATTCCAATGAAAGCCTCAATGAAATACATGATGGGATGACTAACAGGGGCACCTTGATCTCTCCAAACAGTGATCCAGATTTGAGTTTCCACTCCAAATAGATGCTGAGATTTTGATCCCATCTGCCTATTCTAATGGGGCCAGAAAGTTTTTTCCTAGAGCTGGTTTTTAAAAAAAAAGGACGTTTTGCTAAAATGTATGTTTTTTAAATTTTGAAATCCAACAATTTTCAGCTAACTCTGGTTATCTCTAGCCCGACGCAGAGACCAATTCTAGCCCCTGTTGGGACAGTGGGTGTCAGTTCCTGGACAATGCAGTTGCCCTACACATCAGCAAAGCAGCATTCCTAGCGGCTGGTGTTAGCTAGGAAGTGGACGCAGGCTGGGAAAAAGAAAATGGATCCTCTAAAATTAAACATCAATTTGAAGGTATCTTTTAAAAGCACAGATTACAGTTTTACTCCAGAAGACCCTCCTATGTTTGAAAAGAGAGCGGTCAGAAGAGCAGAGGGAAGGGAAGACAAGGACAGAGTTCCCCTTGCACCATTAGATTCATATACAGAGTGACATTGATTAAGCACAAAGATCAGATATTTACACACACAAATAACCATTTCGAAATGTACTTATCTGCAGCCCAATGAAAAGCTTATTTACAGAAAATCTCACTTCATTTGACATTTGACTAAAATATTCTTAAGTGGCTAAAAAACCCCAAGGGATTAAGTAATTGTGCTTTGTGCATAGGCTGCCAAAAATTACTTTGGCTAGTATGATATAATTCTACTCGACATTGTTAACATAATGCTATTTATTTTCTTGTTTTGCCTAACTACAATATTTACTTTTGTACCTTTGTATATCTGCCCTATTACCATGGGGAATGGTTTCAAAGACGTGGTTTTGTGCAGAGAATATTTAGCCTGGGTTTTTCATTCTCTAATGCTCAATGCAATTTTGTTGACACAACACAATGCAATAAATTGGTTTTCTTCTCTCCCTCTCTCCATCTGTGATGCGTGTTCTGATGAAAGACAAGTAATTTACCTGACTCCTGGAGATAGCGATACACCAAGAAATTCACTTCGTCACTGGTTATGCTCATCTTAGCCCCACCTCAATATGATGAGGTTTACAAGAAGTGTGATCCACGCTCTGTTCAAAGAGGGGGAAGAAAACAGAAGAGGTTTTGTTCTATTTTGATTTACTATATTATTTGCTACCAGAACCGAGGAACATTATTTAAAGGGACACAGTTAATATTTTAAAGGCTAAAATATTTACATTTATTACAGTTGTGATTTAAACTGTATGTGAGAGATGCAAAGACAGCGTTGTTAAATGTTGAAAGTACTTTAGCTTTACTACAGTTCTCTTGGATACCTCCTTCAGTGTATGAGTACACTCTGATCAGCACTACTGGCAATTACAGTCAATGCATCGTATGCCACGCCACACCTAATCCTTTCCAGGCCAAACTTTATAATCTAGTTTTCTGCCTAGTGGTTTATCCATGTGAGAAACAGACAGTAACCTCAAAAAATAGCACAATGTTACTCAGAGAACTTAAATAAAATAGCAGTAAAATTACAAGCAACTCCAAAAAAAATAAAAGAACAAATAGTAAATGTATATTTATAGGGAGTTATGCAGAACACTTTGTGCAGAACAATGTATATGCACACATCTCTGCATAATAAAAAGTTGTAATGTCTCAAGTATTCGGTGGTTCATAAAGCACAAAAGTCAAGCTTGGATGATTTACTAAAATAACCATAACCTTTAAAAAGAAAGACAGCTTTGCATGACTAGTTTGGGTATACTTTGTGATAAAAAAAAGAAGCCGAATGCTATATATTAAGATGTTATTTTGTATTTGACTTTCTCTCTCTCTAAATCTCGATGACAATTTTTTTTTGTTCTGGCTTAGTTGGTTCAGAAAATTCACCATAACAGCTTTAAGTGAGCCTTACAGCTCTGACATCCACACCGAACACACAACCACCATGTAAAGGTTTGGAAGTAAGAGCATGCTTACACATTATAAATGAAGAATTTTGTAGGAGTCTGCTGTTTGTTTTAATTTCTCAAATGTCTCTTCTTGGCAGGCAGGATGGTCTTTGTTCACTGAAAACCTCTTCAGTAATTCCTGTTGCCTAGAGTAGCACCTGTTACTGTAGGCAGTGCTGATTAACTACAAGTTTCCCCCACTGATGATCTAAACCAGCAGGTCGTTCATGACTGTAACAGATGTCTTTGCATATTTATGTAAATAGAATTCTTCTTATGTCTTATATTCCCCTTCCCTGCTCTATTTCAGCAATGGCTCAGATGTTGTGTTTCCACCACAACCAATACCTTGGATCATTTAGCAGAAGTTCTTCTCAAGTATTTGGTTCTATATTACAGGTGTTTGCACCTCTCATGCAAAAGATAAAATACATAGTACGTTCTCCTCCTCCTCCTATGATTTTGTGCTTAAAGCACTGGTCTGGGATTCGGGCATCTAGGTTCAATTTCCATTATGCTACAGTCTCCCTGTGTGTCCCTCGGAAAGTCACTTGGTCTCCCTGTACCTCAAGTTCTTCCTCTATGAAGTAGGGGTAAAACTTCCCTATCCACAGCAATGTTGAGAGAATAAATTCATTACTATATGTGAGGAGGTCAGACACTAAGGTGATGGATATCATTGCAGACAGATAAATCTACCTTTGTAAACTACAGCATTTTGTATTTAATGGCAAAAATGCACATTAAGAGAGCACTTTTTACAAATCCCTATAAAGAGCCTACTTAAAAAAGGAGACCTTTAAATACAACTTTACTGCTGTCTACTAGCGTAAATAGTATTTGAATAATTCTGAATAATTCACCAAGCGTCCCTTTTGTATAATACTCTCAAAACACTCAAAGCCCCCAAAGACGTTATCGATGCCTGTTAAAGCCATTTTTAACTCCATCTATTTGATTACATATAAACATATATTCCTATCACAGATGTTCATTCCTACAGCAGTGATAGCAATAGTGTAAGAAACTGTGACAGCGCTGATTTAAAAAAAAAACCCACCAACCCTTTTTTTAGTATCTTAAAAATAGCACTTTCATTTCCTTGGTGGTAGGAAAGATGGTAAAGTTAAAACCTCTTACAAAAATTCAGTTTCAGTGATGACGTACATTATGCTGCTTTGAGTATTATTAATAATATCTCAAGAAATTACAAGAGCTGCTCCTGGGATGCATCTTATTAGGTTGAGTTATTAGTATCATAATCTTTCCTCACACAGAGGTTTTTTTTTTTTTTTCCCAGACAACACCTTTGTTAAATGAATTAAAAGCCAGAGGAAATAAGTCTGACTGCAAAATAAAGAGTTTGGCAACCACAGAGAAAGCCTCCACAGCAGCTACCTTTCTCCCTTTTGTATTAGAATTCCAAGCACACTAAGTAGCTGGATTTATAATGCATTTTTCCTGAAGTCAGTGAACAGGAATTACTTTGACGTATGTGTCAGATCATATCTTTATACACATTGTTCCCATCCCATAAATAACCAGATGATCCCCGCTCATGCATTTAAGCTCTCCCCCTCCTGCAGATGCCAATGCAGCAATAAGATACACAACCACAGGCTCCATCCATCTGAAATGATCCAGAGATCTTGGCTCTGCCCCAGAGTAATCTATTCATCAGAAATTCAGCTGAGCCATGAAAGACTATACTAAATTTCATTAACCCTGCCTTTTGACTTCCTCCATCCCCACACAAAAAATACCCCAAACCTGATATCAGACTTTGGAAAAGATAGTCAGGAGGAGAGGAACATAATTGTCTCTTGAGTCGCTCTAAATCGGATTCAGGAACAAAGGAACAAAACAAAAAATCCTCCTCCACCCCCCCCAACACAATAAAACTCAGTCCATCTCTAAAATCCTGAGAAAACCTCCAGCTGAAAGCTGGGGTGGAGTGTTGTGTGTGTGTGTGTGTGTGTAGTAACCAAATGTGTGTAGTAACCAAATGTTCTCCTCGCATTAGTGGAGATCAATATTGTCTAGATTAATACTCCTGCTCTCTCCTTTTTTTAAAGTATTGCTCAGAGACAACATTACTGTGCTTATGCCGCTGTTTCACATTTAAACTAAAGTGATAACATTTGAGTTCGCTGTGACATAATTAAGTTCACAACACACAACAACAGGCAGACGGTCAAAACACATCCAAGCTCTTTTTTACCTGAAACACCTTTTCTCATAACCAGTTACATGTTATGGAGGGTTTGATTAGTTTCAGCTATACACAGAAAAAAATGGGTCCTCATCCTGCACATATGCATGCCTGGGCTTAAAGTGAAGCATATGAGTAGCACCAATAAAGTCAACCAGACTAGTCATATACTTAAAATTAAGCCACAGTTTTGTTGACCCCACGCGTTTAAGAATAATGAGAGTGTGTTTGTAAGATCAGGGACTTACCTTGTATTATCAACAGGCAGGATTATTTAACTACCTTCAGTTATTTAAATTATAGAACTTAAAAGGGTGGTTATAATTTTTTTTCTTTTAAAGTGAGAGTTGGGGTAAACAAAGTACCAGGTTTGGGCCTTTTCTTTTCTCTCTTTTTCTCTCTGTTTTTTTAATCCTTAATTTGTATTTTACTCTTTTGTGGGATCCTGGAGGGCTGCACCCTTGCTCCAGGATGTGACCAGGGGGCAGCAGAGGCTGCCTGAAGAGAAGATTTGGGATTTGCATCTAGAAGCAGAGTCAGCAGCCTGTTAAGGGGGATGAGCGTAGGAGAAGCTAATCCTCCTTCCCCTTCAAAATATCCACAGTGATATTCACCTACATTGCCTCAAGCAGAAGAGAGATGAGCCAGCAGGTGAGAAGACCCACTAATATGGCCCCCTTCTATTTCCTTTCCCTTCTCTGCTGGTGGCTAATCAGAGAGCCAAACGGCAGGGCTGAGGCAGTAGATAAGCTGGTCTGGCACTTGCATGGCTCATTGAGGGAGTATGGCAGCTCCAGGGTGCTTTGAATGCAAGCTGAACATGTTTAGCTCCACCGGGCTCTTCCTTCTCACTCCACACCCCTCTGTCTCTCATTAAGTGAGGTTATACTATTTATCTAGTCACCTAGTAGAATTGGTTGGGAAATGGCATTTTTCTGCATGGAAACTTTCAGTGACGCAACATATTTTTTCATTTTCTAAATCTTCCAAGGAAAATTCCAGATTTTCAACACAAATCTGAACACGAAAGAATTTCAGCCAAACATCAACATATTTTGATTTGGAAACTCTGCCTTAGTGCCTTATGGAGTCGAAGTTCAGGTGAATCCTGCTCCCATTCTCCTCTATAGGATAGGTTCCCAGGTCAAGCTACATCTCCCATGATGCACCACAGCCAGCAACACCCATGATGCTCCTCATCTCCTCTCTTGTAGGAGGGGAGGAAGTGCATCATGGGAAACAGCCTGGCCAGGACACCCATCCCATAGAAGAGAACGGGGTCTGACCCCCCCCCCCCCAAAAAAAAAAACTCCCTTGATGCACTGCAGAATCTTATTCTAATAAAAATATTTTGGTTTTCTGGTGTTTGGTTTTTCAATGAAAAGCAACATTTCCTGTGGAAAGCAGCCACTTTTCATGAAAAAATTAGTCAACCCCCCAAATTTTCTATTGAAAAACAGTTTCAGCAGAAAATTTTCAACCAGCCCTATCATCTGTTTCTAGGCTGTCTGTAACCAGAGTGTCTAAACACAATAATCATTGATTAAGAATCAGCATCTTCCTCACCCAGAGGACGGCATTGTTTTTGTCCCATACTCTGCGTTTTTGCTCCTTGTCTGTCTTTCATTCCAGATTTCTCCTCTTGAATTGGAACCTTTATCCTGTTCCGCTCCCAGGAAGCCAGAATTTTTCGAGGGTAGGTAGTCTCGCTTTTTTGTCTCCCCCTTGCCACGTAGGCTGCTGCTGATTCAGGCAGATATAATTTAAGCCACCTTTTCTTTTTAAGTAGCTTCTGATAATAGAACAAGTCTGCCGATGACCAGGGGTCAAATTGGGAGAAGAAAAAAGAATGGCGATGTACTCTTTCCAAGCTACACTAAGGTGAGTTATCAAAATAAGATACCCTTCATCGTAGATTGTTACTTTATAGTAT